ATCGACTTCTTTATCTTCTGGCGATATGGGAGAGGAGTTGGATGGACGGGTATCGGAAGAAATATCGTTTTGTGACTACTTCTGTTCCAATTTCGCGACCCTAGCCTTAAGCTCAGCATTTTCTTCTGCAGTCCGTTCCAATTTCGCGACTCTGGCCCTAAGCTCAGCATTTTCTTTGGTAGTCTGTTCTAACCTCATGATTCTGGCCTCGATTTCTTCATCTTGTTTCAATTTTGTATTCTCGGCCTTGACCTCAGCGTTCTCCTTTCTTAGCTCGGAAATTGTGGCAATGAGTTAGAATTTAATTCTTGCAACGAGGAGACAGAGTCTCGAGTTTTCAACTCATCGATTTTTGATTGAGTGTCTGACATTGTTTATACAAGATGCAGATATGTTCAAAAGTTTATTAAAATCACATGACTCTACTTTCACAACTTTCTCGGTAAGAAAACAAAAAATCTCGATCATGTATGGTATCAATGAAAATTTTAATCACTTGAATTCAGCCTGTCAGGCAAATAATACATTTAATATAAGCATGATAACTATTTATATCTGTGCAAGAACTCATGAGTTGACAGCGAGAGGATGTGATAATGAAATTATGGTACTCGTCACTTTTCGCTTTCCTGGAATTAGTGGGGCGTAAGCACTTTCATGATTGCGCTTCGAATTAAAAAGAAATCAATTGAGATAGGATCGGGAAGACCTCCAGGAATTGCGACAGAATGATGTACATCGTGGTATAGACAACTCAATGCAATGTTTATCATATGTGCACCTCGTAAAAAAGTCAAAAGATTTCCATTCCCATCAACTGTGCCGAATTCAAACTAATTATCAATTATAATATTAGATTTTTGATATTAGCCAAAAAGAACATCAGTGTAGTCTAACATTACCGTAGTTCTAGCAGGAAATGTGGATCTCGTTCTTCTATCTAAAACGCAATAATGCCATGCCTGCAATAAATTAAAGTTTTTTAGAATATTATACGAATACTAAGGTTGCCAAACTGTATAAAGACAACTTACTATCATACGAGTAGGTACTTGACCATTAGGAGCCGGGTCAATTTTTACAACAATGGCATCATGGGCACGGTCGGGCTTTAGCCAATAGTTCTTCACCTTGTCTGTAACGTGATCTATTGTCTCGGAATATGCAACTTCGATAACAAGATTTGGCCAAGGGCGAGTCTAAAAATAAGACTAAAATATGAAACCTCCAGTTTTTGAACGGTTCAGTGGAAAAAACACAATGTACCCCTTTATCAATTCCGTTTGGATATT